TGTGTTTCTGGAAGAGAAACTAAAGCATATGCCCGCACGCAGCTGTTCCGATCAGCTTTATTTGTAATAACCCCAAACCGTCCGTCAGCGGGTGGGTGAATAAACAGCATCAGGTCTACGCGGACTGTGCAATATTACTCGGCAGCAGAAAGGATTGGTACCGACCACAACGTAACAAGGATGAGTCGCAAAATAATTACGCCAAGTGAGAGAAGCCAGACCAAAATAATAATAATAATACATACATACATACATACTACACATATACTGTGTCAGCCCATTTATGTGAAAACCTCCAGAAAATGCAAACTAATCTCTCGTGACAGTAAGCACGTCGGCAGGAGCCTGGGACACAGTGTGGGAAAGAGGGAGGAATTAGAAATGGGACCAGGAAACTTTTGGGGTGATGGATATATGCTTTATCTTGATTGGGGTGATGGTTTTAGGGGTGTAGATATCAAAGCCTGCCAAATAATACAGTTTAAATGTGTTTATTGCTTATCAATTATATTCCCCCAATAAAGCTATTAAAAAGAAAGGCAACCCCATCTGCAGTCCTCCGGTCCCTGAGATGAGTCTGACCGCCCCCCTCGGAACTCCTCTTGTTTGTGCCAGCAAATCGCATCAGTGCAGCCAGCACGGACAGTGCCGCCAGGCCTGTCCCTACTTGCCTCGCTGCGAGATGGGACCAACAATAGTACCTACCTCCTGGGGTTGTTGGCGGAACGTGGCGAAATCCAAGTGAAGTGCTTCGTAAACATGCAGTAAATGGCAGCTGCGCAGGGCCCCGTGGGGGCCCGAGGAGGGGAGGGGTCGTCTCTGTCGGTGGCAGGAGCTGGAAGGGTTTCTCCTCCGAGGGGCTGTGAGCTGAATCCTGGAAGGGGAACGGGGAAGAGTTGCCAGAAGGAGGTGTTGGAGGGGTGGGAGGAGGGGAGGACTTGCCAGGAAGAACTAAGTTGGGGAGGCGGCACCCAGGCTCCAAGCTTCTAAAAGCATCGGCACCGTGGTGGGGCCGTGGCACGGGGGCCGGGAGCATCCTGGTGAGTCAGGGCTGTTGGAGTCGGGGGGTGCTCCATCCTTTATGGTCTCGGGGAGCACTGGCTTCATCCTCCAGGCCAGGGTTTCTCAAATTAGGGTCTGAGGAAGATTTCTCCAGAGGCCACATGGTCTATGAGAAGTTCTGAAATTTTCATCTAAAAACAAACAAACAAAAAAACATTAAAAGTCCTCAAATATCTAGTGACGGGAGATTTGACTTTGGGTGGCGAACACACAATGCCATATACAGATGATGTATTATAGAATTGTATCCTTGAAACCTATATATTTTTATCAACCAATGTCACCCCAATAAATTTAATAGAAAAACATTAGAAGCCCTATATTTTGGCGTGGTGCTTTTGAATTGAACGACATTTCATCCCGTAGAAAGCTCCGTTTTCTTAGATCCTCCCTGATGAGTGTGGGTTTTGAGAACGTTATTGCGCAGCCATAATTTTCCTTTAAATAGGTCTGTTGACACGTTATTCAGGATTTAAGGCCACAGGAGGTGTGTGGCGAGGTGTGCAGGGTCACTGAGGTCCACCCTGCTCCTTTGGGCTGTGGCCCAGACAGTCCAGGGAGGGGGCACTGGCTCCAGGAGATGCTGAGGAAGGCCAGCCCAGGTGGCCAGGTGGGCTCAGGGATGACGGCGCCCCTCTGTGGACAGACTCCTACCTGGGAGGAGGTGTGAAGCGCTGAGTCCCAGGACCAATAAGACCTTGGGGGAGGAGCCTAGAGAGGGAGCTGCAGGACATCTGTCCCTGCCTCGCTGCCCCGGAGGCTGCTTGGGTCACTCGGGAAGGCAGGAGAGGGCAGGAGCAAGGCCAAGGCGCTGATACCCTGGAGGCTCCACCTCATCAGGTCAGATCTTCTCAGCGAGGGGCTTTGGGGGCTGGAGCAAGACCTGGGGTTGGCCTCGCCACAGGCCAGAAGGAGGACTCTCCGCTGGCCCCAGGGCTTGGAGATCTAAGCCATAGTCCAGTGGTGCTTGGGCGTGCTGGGGGAGCCGTCACTTCTGAGGCGTGGGGTAAGGGCGCGACCTACACTGCGAAAAACCAACGCTGACCCAATGCTTGCTTTTCCAAATCAGGGGCCGGTAGGGGACCTTGCTTGGCCTGCTTAACCTCATGCCTGTGGTCCGAGGCACTCCGTGTCCCGCCAGGCCCAGGGCTGTTCCCTGATGTCCGGTCCCGCACGTCTGACCTGCAGCCGACGTCTAGTTCCTGCCTCCCCAACTTATGAAGCCCTCCCGCTCACACTGCCAGTGTCAGGCGGTGACCCTGGGGCCGGGTCCTCCCTTGGGACCACAGCGGGGAGCCCTTGCATTAAGGGCCCCCGCCTTGGAGCCACCCGTCCTGCCCCCCGTGTTGCTCCTCCTATCTGGGCTGTCTAGCTTTCAGCTCTCCCCTCCCAGCCCCCCCCCACAACC